CTTGCGATCAAAAACAACGCTTGTGCACCTAACGCTGAAAATTTTATCCTTATTACTATTACTGTTCTTATTTAGTAGCATTAATTATTATTTTTTGTAGAATTATTATTAATTTTACTGTTATCACCAGCTATTATCATTAATGTTATCATCATTATCAAATGACCAAAACCGCAAACCTTACCAATAATCATAGCCGAACGTCGAACGGCAATCGTCGAAAGAAGCTCAGCATCTCGAATTTTATCAGCAATCAGACCACCGAGATTTATGAATACGAAATAGGCGATGTACGGGATGGCTGACAGAAAACCCAACTGGAACACAAATATCATAAAATTTACGAATGAGTATAATCTATCACATACAAAGTAATATGTTTAACCGTATCAATACACTTATAAAAGACAGTCCGATAAAAAACTGAGAAATATTATCAGAAATGAAAATATTTATTATAATTACACTGATAACAGGAAGCAATCAATTGGTAATGAATAAAGATAGTAGATATAATAACAATAATGATAAAATGCTGACCGAAGTCAAGTCGAATCCCAGGATGTCATTCATGAACAGTGGTAAACTGGTCATCATCATATAGGCGCCCCAATCGCCTGCAAAGTGACCGCAATAACAGGCCCACACCGGGACCGATTTCATTATTTCGACCCAAGGGACTGGTTTCCTCTGAAAGATAACCAAGCAACAGTTGTGATCACTTCTATCAAATGCGTTATTATCATCTCCAGTATTCTATCTTTACTGCTCTTGTCATCAGTAATACTATTTCTCTTAGTTCAATGATATGTCACCTTCTGATCCTCTCCCTCGCTCATAATATCAGCCAATGACAGCTGAATATAAGCTCGTTCTTCCTCACTAATATGTCGACTTTTTTGCGGTATATCGGCCACAAAATAGCACCACACCAGAGACCAAATCAAGCCCATTATTCCTGTAACAACACAAGTTTTGAGCTTTATTTCCAAAATCCGAAAGTCTCTTAAACAGATTCGTAAAAAGTGAAGATATCCCATCCAAGAGAACACTTAAGCAATCAACAAAAATTCTACCAAGAACATAATAAATTGATGGCCATCCACCAGCGAATCCATACTTACACAAAATACCCGACAATGGCATTACGAGTGTATTCCCGATTTGACCACCTCAAAAATAAATTCTTTTTTTGAGAGTTACGTTCAATACTCACAAATCAATTCATTAATATTACAGTTATAATCATTACTATCATTATTAATACTTTCATTAATATTGTTACCATTGTAGTAATAAGAATTCAATTTCTCTCTGAAACAATCGATATGCTCGTATTTGTTTTTCAACAGATGAATGCAAAAAATTGAAGCGGAAGAATGCTTCACAGTCTCAAGGATTATCTTTGTCACAACCTTAATCCAACTCTTAATCTCACTTAAGCTATCCTCTTGAATCCATCAGCTTCCTGTTATGTTTATCTCAATTATATACCTCAGAACACTATGTTTATGAACGAATTCTCGAAAAAACACATGAATTTTCGAAAGTATGGAGTCGGTGTTCATTTTGACCGTATCATTCATGAGACAGTCCACAACCCACCTGCATAAGTGATACCAGTCAAGAGACTTCGTTCTAGTGGGGGTGCCCACATCGACCACATTGTATGGAATGCTGGGAACATTGCACCCTGTAATTGAAACTGTTGTTCCACCAATTCAAAATTATCACAAGAAAAGAGGACGGGAGAAATGAACCAATCGCACGTTAAACTGCTTCCGAAAGCCATGAATCATAATAATCACTTTATTGCTTATTATTATTATTATTTTTATCATCCGTCGTTATCATTAGCCATCATTCATTATCATTAACTTTATTATCATTAGATAAAAACTGTTATCACTAATCCCACTGTGACGATTATCTATCACTATCGACACTATTATTATTGCAATAAATTTTAAGCCAGCAATTCAGAATGCAACAGACCTGTACCAAGCCAAGCGCTACCCTCAACGCAAAGAATAAATAGACATTGGTAAATGCGGCCAACGGACTCAACAAAGTCAGAATCGACGATGCAATCACCGTGAATGCAATCACAATCTTCCCACCGATCCTACTCGCCAAATAACCTCCCAAAATTTGACTTCCAAAATAACCCCAAAAGAACGCCGACAACACTTGACCTTGCACACTTTTCGGCCAAATCAGTGAACCTTCTATCTGAAAGTGAGCAAAT